CGAAGCGGCTCGTTTTCTCCATTCGTACATTAGGGAATCAGTTAGTCCGTGTTTCTCTCATGCACTTATTCGCAGGGTGCATCCTGGTGCTGAGACCCTGCCACTCGGTGTATTGCTTTGAATACTTCGATCTCCGAAGTGAGAACATTTTTTTAGCAACGGTGTCAAGCTAAAATAAATAGCAACGCGCACCAGACTAACTGGTACGATCAATTGCGTTTTGTGCAATTTTACCCACCGAACTTTTGCGGGGCCGTATGTGTTACCCGCGGATGCAAGAAGGCTGAATTTAAATTTGCCGCATCACACGTTGGCGGGGAACAGTATACTAAAATTTCAACCGCCTAGCTTTTGTGAGTCCCGAGTTGAAAGTGCGGGACAAAATTTGGGACACACACGCACACAGACAACCCCGTGACAATATGCGTTTTGTACTGCTGTTACACAGCACAAAACGCATAAAAACGATTACTATTAATCGGTTGGACGTAGGTATTTCACTTCCATTCAGATACCGCTAACAGCGGCACTCAAGAATTTGTAAAAACTGTAACTGACCGCGTTTTAGGCGGAAATTCGAATTCATCTGGCGGTAGTAGTGCGCCACCACGTCCACCACCACCGAAAGTAACACCGAATGCAGTGAATCCGTTCGATGCGGAATCGCCGATACCAGCACCACGTAGTGTCAGCACTCTCCAAGGTGAGCAGTTTTCAATGTCTTGGTATCTCAGAAGGCTTTATTTTAATCGTTATCTTTATTCTTGCCGTTGGCGTAATTGGGCACTGTTTCCGTTGTTCCTGCTTCTGAACTTATCACATCCAGCACCTCTAAACCCTTGTTTGGATGAAGCCTAAATGCACTTTGTTGCTTTTTAAGGCAATTTTATCAAAGTTGTAGAATTCATCTGCCGCACAAAGACACTCTATCCGAAGCGCAACAGCAGCACATCTTTAGCGGTGGTATTTTTACACCGATTTGAAGTATTTCTGGGTCCTGTCATTTTCTTAGATGTTTTTTTTTTTTTTTTTTTTTTTTTTTTT